CACTTAGTGGCGAATGGCGGTTTTGTTGTTGTACCCACAACCTGTAAAATACCCAGCACTTGCCTGGGAACTTTATATCAGAACATTTCCACTCTGTCAACTCTCCATGAGTAATGAGGCACCCTTGGAGCGAGTGAAATAGTTCCCATACCTGGCCGGCATGCTCATGATTGGCTTCAGTTTCGCGGCAGAGGCCTCGCTTATAATCAGTTGAGCAGCATTATCTTTTTATCGGTTGCGTAATGCTGTGTGGAAGCTATCTGGCCAATCACTCCACACCATGCTCTCCCGGTGTCTTCAGCCACTGTTGTAGCCTCCTCTATGCTTGTGAAACGTGAACCCCTCCTACAGAACATCTGCGCAGGTTTGAAACATTCAGGCTGACCTGCGTACGATCCATCCTGGGTTTTAACCAGACTGGATTTTGTGAGGAGCTCGCAGATACTTGAAAGATCTGGACAGGGTCCCATCAGTGACCTCCCCCGGCAGGCAAGGCCTGCATTGTCTGGGTCGTATAGTCCACATGCCCAAACAGCTTTTGTTCAGCCAAATTGACGGGGCTAAACGGGCGTGGCACGGGCTGGAGCAAAGGTGGGTTTGATGTGGTAAGGGGGAATGTGGAGCCGATTGGACTTGTCGATGAAAAGCTACCAGCGGTATCACAGTCTGTGGATGAGGCTTGTGAAAAGAGAACTCGTTGCTTTCCCGTCAGTGAATGGAATGCGTGGTTTTGGGGGGGGGGGGGGAGCAAGGATGTACAGTTAGAACTCCTGTTATCCGTGATGATGTGTGGGAGGGGGGTGGGGATATCGTTGATCCTATTGTCCACGAGGTAGTGCACGCATGTGCTGCACTTATCCGTGAGAGAGAGAAAAAAACTCAACAGCTGTGGATCAGATGAAGACGAGAAGGGACGAGAATGATCAGAGCTGTACGGGGACTCCCACCACGAGCGCATGAAGCAGAGCAGCAGTCCACTAACGATGCAAACAGAATGAGACATTTACACAAGAGCGCTGCATCTCATGTTGTCGATTCAGCAGGCACCAGCAGTGGAGAAACCCACAAATTTAAATGCAACGTGATTATATTTACGCGATCTAACCCAAAATAACTTCTATTATCAATAACATTGGTCGCAAAAGACGACGTTTTAAATAATTATATGTTTGATAATGTAACATGTTTAATACCTGTTGATTTGATGTGTCCTTTATTACCCAAACATATACATTTTGGGGGGATTTTGCCAATAATCAAACATATGATCTATAGCTTGTTTTAATTTCAATTCTATAAAGCGATTGAATAATTGAGGATACAGTAAATAAGTGATTTAAAATGTTGATAATTGACGATATGATAAATAAGGTGTTCACACGTTTTCTAAAATAATACACAATACTACCAACAATTGTCATGTAATAGAAGAGGTGGGAGTACCGATTACAGAAGACTGGCGGTCCATTCAAAGTCGCTACAACTTTTCAACATTAATGTAATTCTTTCATCACAATATTACATGCATTCGAAAGAAAACTCACAATATATATAAGTTTGGCGCTTTATTACGTAACAAAAAAAGCGAATTGCTCTTCACGCTCCGAGATCAGGGGGATTGTGAGGATGACGATGACAGCCGCCTCTTTGTTTCTCTTGCAGAGCAATGGGTTCTCTACCCGCGTGATTTTCATTATTTTACTAAGACCCGACCTACAAACACACACAAAGATGTGAGCTTGCGTTTGCCTCCGCGCAAAAATCCTATTTCAAGTTCGTATACGCGCACAGGCATGAAGGCAATTCGTCTCAAATGTCTTCAACGCCCATCCTGCTTGTCAAGTAATAATAACGCGCAGCCCTTTGTCATCAGCTGCTGGATGAAGGCCTCCCCACTCCGGGTCGGTAACGAGGCCTGTTTGACCATACTTCACCCCACGCTGGTCATCGTGGGTTCCTGAAGGTGGATCTGTGCCCAGGACGCGATTCCGGCTATCACCGCTGATGTCGACCGTGGCGGGGGAATCTCATTCCAGGTGGAAGCGTTCAAAGCGTGAGTGCGCCGACCGCTGCGCCACCGCTCCTCCTCCCCAGTACCGAAATGTGTCGCGTGGCAATCATTACAATGAGCGTCACTTTTTCGGGAAGTCAGCGGCGGTGGCCAGCCGGAAGAGTACGCAGGGCTCCCGTCATAGGAATGTGGAATTTCTGACGCTGATCTCGGGGTGGGGGGGGGGGAGAGTGTCACCTCGTCCTTTCGAAACAAGGGCGACCTGTGACCCGTTTCATCTGAATGGTAAAACGCCGCGTGCCTTCACCAGCGCAGAGTGGTCCGGCTTTGGCGTGCATTTACGCCGCTGCACACTGGACAACTGCCGTCTCGCGAATCGAACCGTCCATAAACCGCCATCTGTTTATATTCTCGCAAACAAATATGTATGCAGTCAGACTTGCATTAGTAGGAACACGTGGCCGTTTGCCAATGCACCGCCGCAGGCCGCGTTGGCTGAGCGCTGACACGGCACACACAGAGAGAGAGAGACAGCGGGGAGCGCACGCCTCTCGCTTGTTGCTGATGCTCGCGGCTCGTTGGTTTCGAACCCGGCGGCCGCCCCGGTCCAACACCAGCGGAGTCGCACGTCAATCGGAGTTCACGCGCCGCCCCCTCTTCGCAACGGGACGTTAAATATGCGCTCATTGGGGGGGGGGAGGGTGGAGACAAAGGCGGCCCGGGGGCATTGCCCTTGCTCTGGCCCACACCGCGTGCCGGGCCAGCCTGAGCAAACCGAGCACGAGGTTAGGGGGGTCGTCGTCCCCCCCCACCGCCAAGCTGCTCAAGGGGCTTTTTAGGGCTCATGGAAAATAAAAGGGTCCCTCGAATATCAGCTCGAGGTGCAAACCTTGACAAACACGACGGGCCAATTGGCAGAACAAGGGCAGCGGCAACGAGAGGATATCCGCCAATACAAACAGATCAACAGGACAGGTCACATGCCACGTGGAGCAAGAACAAATCAATACGCCGTAAGAAAAATAAAGGTTAAAAACCTCCCCACACCCCCAGGGAATCGCGACGAGCCAATGCCACAATGCATGGTCCGACGCTCTCTGATCGTGTCTGAAACTCTCATTTCTTGTCTCGCTACAGTGGGTAGGAGATGTTAACTACCTCACTTGGTATGCAGGAGGTTGTGAATTCAATTCCGACCCTGACGCCTGCTGCTGTATATTTGGAGTTTGCGGTGTTTCTCTCCCCGTGGTCCCCCCCCCCCCACATTTATAATTGACATCCGTTTAGAGTATTTGGCTGCTATACATTTCCACGTGATGGTAAGCCACTTCGTTAAGCTATCATTTGTGGCCAGGTCGCTGCTGACAAAGAACTGTATGGCTCAGTGAGCCTTCTTACTTGGTAAAATAAAATAAAAATGTTAGTTTAGTTTTAGTTGACCTGCACAGCTCATCTCTCGGGATTCATGGCTGTGATTGAAAGTCTGGGTAGACTCCCCCCCCCACCCCAAAATTATATCTGCTTCGGGCCCCCAATGTGCCAGCACCTCCACTGTGAATCATCATCATCAGCAGCAGCCATGGTCAATCCACTGCTGGATGAGGGCCTCCCCAAGCCGCCGCCACCTCCTCTCACAACGCTAACGATGCGATCGACTGGTGGGACCCCCCCCCCCACCACCACGCGCTCCATTCCTTGGGCCGCCGCTGCCAAGTCTTGTGGTCTTGTCCGGTCGGTCGTGAACCCCTTCTGAAAAACAAACAAACCCTTGCCCATATCCGAGTGCCGTCGTGGTGATCGAGTGCGCGCACTGGACCGGTGTTGGGATTGCATTGGCTCGGCTACGCGGTGTGTTTAGGTGCCCGCGGCAGTGAGAGTCGCTTTCACAGACAGCCCTTCAGTCAATTGCTCCCTGCCGACGCTGCAAGTGTTCAAAGGAAGACTCAAGGCAACAGGGCAGAGAGGGCTCTTGCAGAGAACGCACCCGGGCTGTGGGCCCTGGGACACTGGACACGGGGAGGAATACTTGTTCATCATCATCGGTAGCAGTAGCAGCCATGGTCAATCCACTGCTGGATGAACGCCTCCCCAAGCCGCCACAGTCATCGCTCCGCCTCCACGGCCCTTCGGACACATTAAGGGAGGCGTCGTCGTAAAGAAAAGCACCAAACTGTTGCGTTTTTTTTTAACTCGTTCGAAGGCAGACTTGTGTAGCCTCTCGTGGATATTGTGACGTCTTTACCCTGCATCGCTTCGGATTTTAATCCACCTCTCGATTTAATATCTTGATTCATTATTTGGCAATATAATTATCAATGGCGGGTGTTTTTTTTTTAATTGCGGATTATCTATCGCCGTTTTAACGCCGCGCTCGCCAAGTTCCCTCCTGCGAATGGCTACGCACCAAGTGGACGCTCATCGACGAGACCGCGGGTGCTCGCGCATTCGTGATGGGGATTTGTCTCGCGTCACAGGCCCGGTCGGCAGTGACTCGGAGCAATGGGGGTGGGGGGGGGTAAAACACCGGCTACGGTCGATTGAAAGTTTGGGGGGGGTTTCGTAATTTACGACAAGAACCCCCTCGAAGACGAGGCCAGTCCGGTGGACTGCCATCGCCTTGTGATGGAAGATGTTCGGCACTTCGAAGCGAATAAAATATTTACTAAATCACTTAGGGGTGGAGTGGTGGTATAAGTGCGCACGCGTGAGGTGAGATCGATTGCCGCAGACGATGGCGATGATGACCCCCGTATAATTGTCTCTTAATTGTCCGGCACTGTGAACTCTTGGCGGCTGGATACCCATGACAAAGAAAATAACAACAACTCACCACCGGGTGAGTTACTGATTCAACTAATTGACGAAAAATGCAAGACTAATTGATGGCGACGACGACTGCGCCGATGCCGTGGGCCGGCGTAAATCGCGTGCAACGCAGCGAGCGGACTAATGCCGTCATTGCCTCGCCTCCTCCGCCTGTCATTTGCAGTCGCGTGCTCCGCGCTCTTGGGTACCCCGCCAGCTGCTAGGGGGGTTGGTAGAGATACGGCGGGGAGGAGAGGCACGCGGCCAGAAGATAACGGAGCTTGGAGCCCCCCCCCCACCACCACTGCATTATTCCAGGTGAGTGTAAACCACTTCCCAGTGCGACACACCAACGTAACCGTTCCCCCCGATGCCGTCGACTCGAGGCGCTCGAAGTAAAGACATGACGTGACCCCGCGTCCGCTACGACGTTGCCTTGGGAACAACGTCTGCAGATGGAGCGCATCCCACAAGGTGAACGCTCATCCCACAAGGTGAACGTTCATCCCAGGGTGTGTCCCACAAGGTGAACGTTCATCCCACGCACGTCCCACAAGGTGAACGTTCATCCCAGGGTGTGTCCCACAAGGTGAACGTTCATCCCACGGTGCGTAGCGCAAGGTGAACGTTCATCCCACGGTGCGTAGCGCAAGGTGACCCGAGCCGGCCTCGTCCCGAGCCATTACTCATGGCCACGGCTGATTTGGGAGCATCGCGACAGCGTATCGTCGTTTATTTTCTGCCGTTTCGTGGATGGTGGGCGGGAGCTGATCAATCTCTCTTTGATGGTGTGGTTTTTATTTATGTTGTAGTTCAGTGGAATGTGACGCGCCTGTTGATCTACTTGCATCGGCGATTGCCACTGTCCCTACTTTAACCCTGAGTTACGTCGTATTATTATTATTATACATTTTATACATAGAAACAACACGTTTCCTGAATCCAAACCTGTGCTGGAAATGACGGAGGGGGGGGGGGACACGTCCATCCGCGCAACTCTCGAACGGTTAACCCGCGACGCTTCAACCGATGCCAGGTTCAATACGGCATCTCATTCATTCACCCCAAAAAAATCCACGTCGGCGACAAATATTTTCCTGCAGCGGAGACAATGTCACCGTGGCACGAAGGCAGACTTCATTGTCAACATGCCTAGATCCACTTCTTTTTGCGTGTGCTGTGTGTACCTGTGTGTTTGTTTGTGTACATGTGTGTGTGTTTGTGAGACAAAGATCTCCGTAGGTGCTCACTCGCTAACAGCACTGCCCCCAACAGTCTGTTAAGGCTACACGACAGATCTTGTTTTTTTGGCATGTTTGTAAATACGGCTGGGGCTGTCATCTGTAAGGTGTGGTAGCTACACGTGGTCTGCATAGTTCAAGTGTTTCAAAACTCCCTTCCCGTGAAGTGTCCAGCAATGTCATTCCAGAAGGCAGTAGCCATTTGTGGACTCAAAATAATCTGTCCCTCCTGTGTGGGATAGAGCGTTGCTCTCTTGCACGCGCGACTTTTCAAGGTCCGGTTTCCTCCCACGTGTGCGAACACTCAATAAACGGAGGAACAAAAACATCTCAATGTGTAGAGGAAATCGCAGAGCCTCGGGCAATTGTTGGCACCGGCCCTCCGCCTGGCTGTTGTCTCCCGCTCGCGTGCGCTGCGTCGCGTCCCTCGAGTCGGCCTGCCTCTCTTGTCAAGAGTGAGCCACCAGCGCTGTATGCGCCGCTGTGTTGCAAAGGTGGTGCTGTTTTGTAGATGACGCAGTTGTCGCGAGTGCTGGGTGGGTGCGGTGTGCAACCTAATGAAATTATGATATTGTTATCGTGAAAAAGGCCGGCGCAGCATACAATGGGCTGGGTGGCGACCACCAAGCCAAGCTGCCTCTCCCGAGTGCCGATGTTAACACACCCACCGCCACACGTACTCATTTATGACCCCAGGGAGGCCCAGAACCGGCTGCCTGTAGGGGGAATATTTGTGTTATTAGTTTGTGAGCACGTGTGGTCGCGTGTGTTGATACATTCCAGAATTTCTGATCAATCCGAAGCAGATATGTTGCACAATCGAAATGAAGGACGTGGGCAGGTGCTCCAAATCGAGGGCAAACACATTCATTGTGGTCAATCTGCAACATCACGTGTGTCCCACACAGCAATCCTCAACCGAGTCGCCATTAACCACGTGACTGGTGTACAAGTCCGGTTAATCAATAACCCTGCCAGCCACCCACAGGCCCAACTCAGTTATCGCATGCTGGTGTACACACGTGCACTGATGTACTGCACAGCATATAAGGACTTTAACAAAACCACACTTTACTCCCTTGCTGCACGAGGAAATAATTAAAAGAGTGGTCCATTCCTAATGTGCCACATATATCTGTCACTGATGTTAGCCATAAGTGAGAACTGAGCTGGGATTGCCGGGTTTTTAGCACGGTGCACTAACTACTCCACCATCACTCTCCACACATATACCCAGGCGCACGTGACGTGTGTCTCTGTACAACACACATGTGTATGAGTGAGGAGCGGGGGCAAAGTGGTAAGTGCACTTCACCACACACATCGGTCACCTGAGTTTGCTTCCCAAGCATGACTAACATCAGTGAACAGCCCCAGAAGATGATGCCGCAGACCCAATTCAATAGAGGCCTCTTCAATAAGGACTGCTCCAATAGGGACTGCTCCAATAGGGGACTCTCCAATAGGGGCCTCTTCCATAGAGGCCTCTTCAATAGGGACTGCTCCAATAGGGGACTCTCCAATAGAGGCCTCTTCAATAAGGACTGCTCCAATAGGGACTGCTCCAATAGAGGCCTCTTCAATAGGGACTGCTCCAATAGGGGACTCTCCAATAGAGGCCTCTTCAATAAGGACTGCTCCAATAGGGACTGCTCCAATAGAGGCCTCTTCAATAGGGACTGCTCCAATAGGGGACTCTCCAATAGAGGCCTCTTCAATAGGGACTGCTCCAATAGGGACTGCTCCAATAGGGGACTCTCCAATAGGGGCCTCTTCAATAAATGCCTCTTCAATAGGGACTGCTCCAATAGGGGACTCTCCAATAGAGGCCTCTTCAATAGGGACTGCTCCAATAGGGACTGCTCCAATTGGGGACTCTTCAATAGGGGCCTCTTCAATAGGGGCCTCTTCAATAGGGGCCTCTTCAATAGAGGCCTCTTCAAAAAGGACTGCTCCAATAGGGACTGCTCCAATAGGGACTGCTCCAATAGGGGACTATTCAATAGGGACTGCTCCAATAGGGGACTCTCCAATAGGGACCTCGTCAATAGGGAGCCACTACAAGCAGTGGATTGACAAAGGCATGGAAATTGAATTACTATTAAATCGACGCTTAACCAATTGGCCGAGTAAAGTCAACAGTAGCTGTCATTGCAGTTATCAATTAAATCCTTGTCTTTGCCATAGGAGCGTGTAATTTACAGCCATGAAACTCAACTCCAATACATGCGAATGCCTTTGAGCACGTGTGCAGGGCGACAATGGAGTGACTGCCACTGAGCAGTTCCGCATCGGGTTTCGCGGCTGTGCCATACAGCTGCGCTGGCGATTCCGGGTCGTTACCGAGTGCTGTTTCGGCGCGATGTCCGACGTTTCGCTCCACGTACCGCACTGGTAGCTTCTTCAGAAAGCGGGAGCATCTTCACGAGGGAGTTTCCCGGCACGTGCAGCGAAACGTCGGACAAGCGACACGATCCTGAAAAGCACAACGGGAAGCACTCGTGTTGTCCACCCGCCTTCCCACCTTTGCCATTTCACACTGACGGGCAGAAACTCCTGTGCCCACAGGGGTTCATGAGCCGTCAAGATCGCCCTTGGTCCCATGTTCTGCACCTTATGGCGGTGCGATGCCCCAGAAAATCCATGGTGGCGCTGGGCTGCAACATGCTCAGACCGGGAAGGAGGATTCTTCAGTCAAAACTGACCCATTGTATGAGTAAGTTTCAACCGCACCTCCGATCGCCACGCTTGGCTTGGGACGGTGCGAGAGAAGTTCAGCATGCACACGGACGACGACAAAACTCTCCACCATGGGTTTCTGGTCGCCGTGATTCATAAACACATTTCTTGGCACGTAACGATCTGGAGGTTGAAAGGATTATAGCTGGTGCAGCGGCATTATACGCTTACGCACGTGGCAATTAAATTTGTTTTGGCTGTGTCGGTCTGGTGGTGGAGGGGCTTCACGACACTAATCCGACCAGATCATTACACAGCTGCCTAACTGCCCCAAATCATCACACAGCTGCCTAACTGCCCAGATCATTACACATCTGCCTAACTGCCCCAGATCATTACACAGCTGCCTAACTGCCCAGATCATTACACAGCTGCCTAACTGCCCCAGATCATTACACAGCTGCCTAACTGCCCCAGATCATTACACAGCTGCCTAACTGCCCCAGATCATTACACAGCTGCCTAACTGCCCCAGATCATTACACAGCTGCCTAACTGCCCCAGATCATTACACAGCTGCCTAACTGCCCAGATCATTACACAGCTGCCTAACTGCCCCAGATCATTACACAGCTGCCTAACTGCCCCAGATCATTACACAGCTGCCTAACTGCCCAGATCATCACATAGCTGCCTAACTGCCCAGATCATTAAACAGCTGCCTAACTGCCCAGATCATTACACAGCTGCCTAACTGCCCCAGATCATTACACAGCTGCCTAACTGCCCAGATCATCACACAGCTGCCTAACTGCCCCAGATCATTACACAGCTGCCTAACTGCCCCAGATCATTACACAGCTGCCTAACTGCCCAGATCATCACACAGCTGCCTAACTGCCCCAGATCATCACACAGCTGCCTAACTGCCCAGATCATCACACAGCTGCCTAACTGCCCCAGATCATCACACAGCTGCCTAACTGCCCAGATCATTACACAGCTGCCTAACTGCCCCAGATCATTACACAGCTGCCTAACTGCCCCAGATCATTACACAGCTGCCTAACTGCCCCAGATCATTACACAGCAGCCTAACTACCCCAGATCATTACACAGAAGCCTAATTGCCCAAAAAATCTGTTATGAATCTTAAATGACGGTGACTGGATTGAGTTTGGTTTCCTCGCACGCACGCATGTTCCCTTCCTTTTACGCAAATGACTCCGGCGAATCAAATTCGGGTTATTCGCGCAGCTTCGCGTGGCACTGCACGATGCCCGACATTTCGCTCGTGGAAGCTTCTTCAGGAGCCGGTAGCTGGGTCGCAGTCGCTCCGCGCCGAGGCTGCGGTGTGCAGGGCCGGATTAACGCCACGGATTGAGGGGCCGCAACCAGGAAACCTCAGAGACTGTGGGTCCCTCCCAGAAATATCCACACCGCATTATAAACCCGTTTTCATCAACGGTTAAACGCAATAATGTGGCACTAGGATACATCCCACTGGTGATTTGGCAATCGGAAGGCGTTAGATTTGTATTACGACCAGATAAGTGCCACAGTTAAGCGGCAAGTGTTTTGTATCCAATGGTGATTTGGCTTTTTCCATTCGTGCATCGCGCTTCATTTAAAAAGAAAAAAAAAACTGTGAGGTGAAATATTTGAAAGTGAATGACGGTGATGGGATTGGCATCGCGGCGTGGGTGGGGATTAAATGGTGCAAGGTGGGACTTGAACGGACGTACAAACAGGGCCCCTCCCCGCCGACCAAATAAGTGAAAACAGCCGCGGGCCCCCCCTGAAACTTAATCCATCCTTGTGGGTGCCGGCGGTGTTCCACGAGAGGGTGCTGAGAGTCGTCGCGGTGCAACGGGCTTTAAGGCGCCGGTTCGATTCCGTCTCTCGGCGCGCGGTTGGAACGACGGTGCGAGTTTCTTAAATACACCCCCCCCCCCCACACCTTAATACACATCACAATACATCATCATCAGCTATGATCGATCCACTGCTGGATGACGCCTCTCGCGATGGCGCGACGCGGCGATCCACAGGAACCGATCTCGTCGCCACGCCCTGCTCGGGTTGGACGTCCCCTCGCACGAGCAACCGAATCCACCGCTCCGTCTCCCCTGTGGCTGGGCGGCGTCCCCCTCGCTCCGCCGTCACCCCTTGCCGCGCTCGCCGCATGTCGTCGTTGCTCTCGACCCGTCGGCCATCGGCTCTTCCAGCCGTGGCACGTCCGGTCACATATTGTGCACGCGCGCAAAAAAATTAATGTATTTTCAAGTAAAAATTCAGATAATTCTGCCGTGGTGCCTGTGAGCAAGTTCGCCCTTTGCAAAGGGGCAACGCAGCCTTGTTTTGAACGCCGCCTTGACCTTTGTAAATTGCGTTCTTGCGCAAATTTTGCAGATGTTTCGAGGGTAGTGGCTAAGCGAATGGCGGTGAAGTGAGAGCAACACCTCCAGCTCGGCGCGACATTAATCGGTGTAACTCGTGTAAGGCGCGTGATAATCGTACCTTCTTGTTTTGGCAAAAAAAGATGGTGATATCACGGGCACTTGATGCTGCTCACGCGATTTAATCATTGAAAGTGACGAGAAATCTCGCGGCAGCAGTAAAGTTCATTTTTTTGTCCTTCCGAGCTGGTGGTCTGGATGAGGCTGAGTATGCAGTCACATCTGCTCGTATGTAGTTTGTAAATAAATAGTCACGGAAAGTATTTATGGAGACTGGCAATGGAGGCTCACTTGCTTCAATGTCTCACCGGGCCAAATCGTGTGCGATGTCCAAAATTGACGCCACGGTCGCATTAACAATGAGGCCTCTGATGAACGTTTACAAAGTCATTGACGGCCACTGTGGTTATATGACGTCTATATAGAGACGTTGCAAATGCACCGCTGTGCCGCGCGCCGGCAATGCTGCGCGCGCCAGGGCAACATCCTTCCGGCTGCAAACGACTCAATTTGGAGTATACACAGCGGCAATAGTCGTCCCCTACTGGCAGACTGATGCCCGCTTGCAGGCCCAGTGCTGAGTCACCTTGTGCCGCACAGAGAAAGCTGCCACTGGGGGTGGGGGGGGGTGCCGATTTCAAACGTAAAGTGCTCTGAGACGCCCGGGCGTATTAAGAAGGTGGTTCCATCAGAAACAAATTGTTAACGACGTTCTTCTTGCAAATGCACCGCTGTGTTTTGGGATGCTGGTGTTTCGGAGGTGTGTCCATCTGTGTATCCCACAGTGCGTCGCTCCGTCTATCTGAGGATTGTACAGAGAATATTCTTACACGAAAAAATTACAAAGCCTGAACCAATCGCCGAAGAAACGCCCCCCTCCGCTTACCAACTGCGCTGGTCACGCATCTCTACTTTTACGGCAAGGTTGGCAGCGAACTGCTTTAAAAAGAAAAAAAAACTCATCGATCTGCGCCAAGTTAGCGTTAGGCTGTGAGAAAGAACAACGTGCAGCCCCGCGATTACTGGCTCCTCCATTCCTATTGTTCTTGTTGTTTGATATTTTTAGTAACTGTTGTTGCTCGCGTGGCTATATCGCGCCCGTGGCGTCGCGTGCGCACAGCGGCGCTTCCGCAGCTCACGGCGAGCGCCCGAGATGATCTCGCGTGGTGCACGGACACAATCGACGGGAAAACTGCAGCAGCAGCATTAGTAGCGCCACTGACGCCTTCGAGTTCAACCCCCCCCCCCCCGGCTATGTCGCGATCGCTCCTATCGGCCGAATTAATTCTCCGTTAAGAAGAGATCCGGCCCGCTCTCCTACGCCGTCCGGATACGCGGCAGTTCCCCCCCAAAGACTTCTAAGCCGTCGAGTTGACGGCCTACCGATGGCGGGTGGACCGTGCTGCTGTCGAGATGGAGAAGGGGTGGACGCAGGGGGGAGGGAGGATTAAGAAACTCGCACCGGTGATTCAACTGCCGCGCCCGCGAGATCAAACCGAACCGGACCAGATCGGATCGGACCGGCGACCTCGGGGATTGCGAATCCAGCATGGGGCCACCTCACGAACACCGCTGCCGCATCGCGCCCTGCCGCGATGCCGCAGCGGTGTTCGGAGTGCCGAGTGTCCCCGCCGTGCTGCCGCGGCGAGGGTGCGGGTGGCTTGGGGTCCCGACTCCTCCTGTGCCTTTGCGCCTTTCCCGCTCTGGTGTCGTGGGTGAGCTGTCGTGGGTGAGCTGTCGTGGGTGAGCTGTCGTGGGTGAGCTGCCGCTGTCGCACGCCGCGTCGGGGTCGTGATCTTCTCGCGAGGCCTGCGAATGTTTGCACGGCGGCGATGCTGGGAGGTGGGGGGGGACAACACACAACGCGCTTTATTAATTTAAAGAGGCCTGCATGGGTCTTTGGTGATTTGACACTCGATGGAAAATATGGTTGTACTCATGCGTTTTAATCCGTTCTTTCACAGGGTGACCGAAAGTTGTGTATGTGCGTAGATTAGGGAGCGGTGGTGTAGCGGTTAGTGTGCTGCGCTATGAACCTGGCGACCCGGGTTTGATTCCCGCTCAAGGCCAACAGCAGTGACGATTATCTAAACCGGCCCTGGGCATCCCCTCGGTCGACTCAACCTCAAATGAGTACCTGGTGTGGTGTAAACATCGCCACTGGGGAGACAAAGGCGGCCGGGCGTAGTGTTGGCCACTCACCCCCTCGTGTGCCGTGCCGGCCTTTATAGGTGCTCGCTAACAGCACTTGCTCCTACAGTCTGTTAAGGCTAGACGAGGGATCTCTGTCTTTGTAGACTGAGTGAGTGAGTAAGTGAGTGAATTTATGAGCGAATGGGTGAACGAGTCAATGAATGAGTGAGCGAATGAATGGGTGAACGAAAGAGGGTGAGTGGGTGCCCAGAGCCATGCATGCGTGGATGTGACAGTGGGTTAAAGGGTGAGTTGGAGAGCGGAGTTAGTGACTATGTAGATTAGTTAGATGGGCGAGCGGGTTAGAGTCAGCGCGTGAGGCAGAGAGCGAGTGGGAGAGTGCGAGTGAGTGATCGATGACAAATATTTATTATATATTGTGAATGTATTAGAAATGTATGCGCAAGAGCTTTGTTTCAGTGGGAGCTGCTCTCCGGGAGCCGAGCTCAGTAAGACATTGTCCCACCTGCTGGGGGCTCAGGAAAAACAACTCCGTGAGGAATAAATCGCAAATTGACGCACGAACGAGCCGAGGTTGTGGGAGTGAGGGATCGGCAGTGAGTGGCCCACGTGGGACGTGTCGATTGAGCCGTTCGGTTTGAAGAAGAAGAGGAAGAAGAAGATCACCACTCCGATCTTAAGCGAGCCGGCGGAGGCGGGGATGAGGTGGAGAGCCGATGGATGGACGAATGAATAATTGAGACGCGCGCATGTGCATGTGTGTGTGCGTGGGTGTTCGTGTGTGCGCGCGTGCGTGTGCGTGCGTGTGTGTGCATGTGTGTGTGCGTGACCGGCTCCGGTTTAGCAGCAGAGGTCTCACTCCGAATCAGTCGAGCGGCAATATCTTTTCATCGGTTGCGTAATGCTGTGTGGAAGCTACCTGGTCTGTCGCTCCGCATGAAGCTACAGGTCTTCTCAGCCACGGCCATTCCCTCCCTTCTCTACGCTTGTGAAACGTGGACCCCCCTAATGGAACATCTTCACCGGTTAGAAACATTTAATCTGGCCTGCCTACGATCCATCCTGGGTTTAACCAGGATGCATTGTGTGAGGAGCTCACAAATCATTGAAAGATCTGGGCAAAGTCCGATCGGTGAGCTCCTCCGGCAGGCAAGGCTGCGTTGGCTGCATCATGTAGCCCGCATGCCCAGCCACCGCATGCCTAAACAGCTTTAGTTCGGCCGAATAGAGGGGGTTAAACGGGCGTGGCACGGGCTAGAGACGAGATGGAGTGATGTGGTACAGGAGGACGTGCTGCTGAGTGGACTTGCCGATGACTGGTACCAGCGGTGTCAAGATCGGCCTCAGTGGAGGAGGCTCGTGAAGGATGCTACTGGGCAGTTGGAGGCAGTCGCCCTCCAACAACAACGGAGGGCAGAGGAGCGACGCTCACAACAACGAGCGGAGCGCCGGGTGGCTAAAGCACAGCAAGTTGGCACAGTAGGGGGCACAGGTGGTGCATCAGCCAGTCGTCTCAGTCAGTCGACCCGTGGCACCTGGGTCTGCCCCGTGACCTCCTGCCAGCGGCCATTCGACACTTCACGTGACCTCAAGGTGCACATAGCCTGGCACAATCGTCGTGGTGACGTCACTGCCACTTAGTGGCGAATTGTGGTTGCTGTTGTTTTGCGTGAGTGCTCATGCGTGTGTGTGTGTGTACTTTCGTGTGTGTGCGTGAGTGCCTGTGTGTGCGTGCGCACAGACGATAGCGAACTCGGGAATCCCGGCGAGCGCGCGCCTGACCAAACTTTTCCCCATCTCCCGCAATCGGCCGCTCGGCTGCCTCTAAGCCGCCTCCTCCCCCGCCCCCCCCCCGAGGCAACATTTTCCTGCCCCCTCACGAACAACAACAACAACAACGCGGCTTCGTGGCTTTCGTCGGCGCAGTGGCAGCGAGCGAGAGGCGGGGGGGTGGAGTGGAGGGTAGGGGGGTGGAGGCTGAGCGATGGTTTAAAAAGGGACGCGGTGATCGACTGGAAGCCCCCCTCGGTCCAGGCTGACGCTCCGGTGAAATCTCCACCCACCTCGCAGGGATGAAGATGAATAAGGCGGTGCGTGTCGGGATTGCGGCGCTGGTGCTCGTGTGCCTTTACAACGTCTTCCAAGTCACCACGTGGCTGGGGGCCTGGGCCGAAGGTATGTGGCTGCGGCGGAAATCGTTGTGGTTGGCCATCGTTGTTAACGACCTCGCCTGGTGTGCAGGAGGTCGTGGGTTCGATCCCGACCTGACACGTGCTCTACATTTTGAGTTTGCGGTGTCTCTCTCCCCGTGGTCGCATGGATTTTTCTCCGGGTTCTCTGGTTTTGCCCTCCGCATTTAGAATTAACATCACGCGTTCAGAGTATTTGGCTGCTATAAACTTCCACGTGATGATGAGCCACTTCGTTGGGCTATCATTTGTGGCCAGGTCGCTTCCGTAAAAGAGCTGTATAGCTCAGTGGGCCTTACCCGGTAAAATAAAAAAAATTCATCGTCTCCGTCGCCGGCATTATTATTCATTGCGTCAACGCCGTTGTCACCCGCAGGCGAAGCTGTAATCAGCATCCTCGCCATCCTCAATCATCATTACCATCCTTATCGTCATCCTCTGCACCTTCTTCATCACCACGCTAATCACCATCCTCATCATTATCCTCATCATCACCATCCTCATCATCATCCTCACCATCTTCATCTTCCTCACTATCCTCATCACCATCCTAATCTTCATCACCACGCTCATCACCATCCTCATCACCATCCTCATCAACGTTGCATGCTATGCAGAAGGGACATTGCCTGAAATGTCACCTGAAGTCTATTTTTTTTCTTTTAAGGCCATTGCATTGTTGATTAATGTGTTGAGTTGCGTTCATTATTGGTGGCATCATTATTACTGTGCTCATCGGCATTAAAGCTGTAAACTAGGACACCGTCGTCGTTATCATCATCGCTCGTGACCTCATCGTCATTATCAGAATTAATAAAAAACAGGAGGAGGATTTCTCCACAACTCTGGCTGTCACCTGATGATGCTGGTTATTGTTGTAATTCCCGGCGAAACGTCACGGTACTCGAATTGCAAATGTTGAAGTGGATTTACTCTCCAATACACAACCGTTTAGTGCTGAACTAGTAAGTAATTGGCACCTTTTATCTACATGACCAACCTTTACCACTCTTTGGTTATTTCGGTAAAGACACGTAGGTCCAAAATAAAAGAAAAAATAATATATGACAACGTTTCCATCGCAACATAAGCGGTCGTCCTCAGGTGTAAAAAATAATCCAGCAGTGGAACTGCTGAACCAGGAAGAACACAGCGAGAGAGCCGTTACAACAAGAGGCTATATATGTGGCGAAGGGCAAGCAGGCAGGGTCTGAGCTGGAAAGGAATTCTACCCCCGCACACAAGCACGTCAGTTGTGTTAGTGGGGGAGATTAGGGTGAGAGAGATTAGGGAGAGAGATTAGCATGAAATGAGCTTCGGTCGCTGCATAAGAGTATCGTCCCCGCATATGCGCACAACAGCAGTGTTAATTGGAGATTAGCACTATGTTGATGGGAGAGATTAGGCAGGGAGATTAGGGGAATTAGCAAGTTAATGTCATGTCTATGTGTAACACAAGCTGCGGTGCTGCCAACTGCGCTGTGACGGGCAAGCGCGTACACGCAAGAGAACCACAGCAACGGTGGTCGCGCCAGTGAGACACACAGCCCATCACACAGCCAGAACCATCGATACATCGAGGCTAAGGGAGCAGAGGTGGCCATGTTAGTGAGACCCCAGCCCGTTAATGCAGAGGCACCCAACAGGGCAATGCTAATCAGAGAGTCGGAGATAACAGCCAAACGGCAGGGAAGAATGGAAGCCCCACAGCAAGTTACGACTTTGCTTGGTTAATAATGTCCTTCCAATGATTGCTCAGCTTATACCCATCTTCTCGGTTGAAATTGTCTCTGTGTTTATATATCTGGATGGCTTCATGGACAAATCTTTGATGGTAGTCCGAAGGTTTTCAGAGTACGTTGGTCTCGGAAAAAAACAATATTGTGCGAGCCCACTGCATTATAACAATGATCAGCCACGGCAGAGGTATTGGTTCTGCCATGTTTCAAATCTGCCTTGCGTTCGCGAACACGGTCCACGACATGTCGTTTCGTTTCCCCAATGTAACTGCTGACGCAGACACAACTTAGTTTGTAGACACCAGGATATTGCATGTTGGGAATGACATCCTTCACAGATGGGATCAGAGCACCAATTTTTGGAGTCATCTGGTCGAGCACCAATTGGGTCAAGGCTCAAAAGAAAGCCGTCCCTTGGTGTGGACCAATCAGTTTCAATGACAATGCATATATTATCATAGTATGTTTTTGTTTGCATTTTGACTGCAGGTATTGTGGTTAATGCAGAAATTAATCCTTGTAAAAAGGTTTCAGTTTTGTTTCCAGAAAAAATGGGGAAAAATCCTATTATTAATGTCATCTCTCTTTTTCAATTGAGCGAGTTCAGAACGCTCGTCCCTGCTGATGTTACTCATGGGTTTCCTGGCGTTTTTGAGGATGGCGGCGATTTCAGATCTTGCCACATCTGCTGGGATGTGACCCAAACCTTGTGAGGGCTACGTCAACCTGGGCAATGATATCATCCACTGTGATGTTGTTTGGGGGTGACTGCAAAATTCAGCCCTCTAGCTAGTACCGATTTTAGGCTATCAGAAATTGGGCTGTTACTCTGATTGATGACAATCTTGTTAACATCTAACTTTTTAACGTGTGGATCTGGCTTCTTTTTTGACAGGATGTTGAATTTAGCAATTAGGTTAACTTTACATTTGGTTGACATTGTCACGGCAAAAGAAACAGTCATGTTATCTACAAGGTCCCAATCAGATGTGGACATTTTATTTGTTAATGCTAAGTGTGATTGTAAGAGACATTTGTCTAAATTATCAATTTCAAAACGTAGCAGTCTTATCCTCTCTGAGATTAGCAATAGGCTAGCTTTGAACAAGATCCATTTAGCGTTAGGAGAAGTGATAGCAGCAGATGTGAGTGTAAATGCAATCGGTATTACCTTGTTGTCGCGGCATCTCTTTAGAAAGGTGAGCGACTCGATCAGGTGAGCCTTCTTGTCTCGCAGTCTGTAAAAAGCTCTAACAGATGTGTGAAAACGCTCCCCGTAGAGGCGGTTCAATCTTAATTTGAAGTTTTCGTGGCTGCAGGAATCCATACTCTTTGGTTCTTTCGCTAAAGTCACGTAGGTTGAAAAATAAAATGAAATAAAATAATATATCACGACGTTTCGATCGCAACACAAGCAATCGTCCTCAGGCGGAAAAAAATAATCCAGCAGTGGAACTCCTGAACCAGGAAGAACACAGCGAGAGAGCTGTTACAACAACAAGGAGGTTATAGATGTAGTGAAGGAAGAACACAGCGAGAGAGCTGTTACAACAACGAGGTTATAGATGTAGTGAAGGAAGTACACAGCGAGAGAGCTGTTACAACAACAAGACGTTATAGATGTAGTGAAGGAAGTACACAGCGAGAGAGCTGTTACAACAACAAGACGTTATAGATGTAGTGAAGGAAGAACACAGCGAGAGAGCTGTTACAACAACAAGACGTTATAGATGTAGTGAAGGAAGAACACAGCGAGAGAGCTGTTACAACAACAAGGAGGTTATAGATGTTGTGAAGGAAGAACACAGCGAGAGAGCTGTTACAACAAGACGTTATAGATGTAGTGAAGGGTGAACACAGCGAGAGAGCTGTTACAACAACAAGACGTTATAGATGTAGTGAAGGGTGAACACAGCGAGAGAGCTGTTACAACAACAAGACGTTATAGATGTAGTGAAGGAAGAACACAGCGAGAGAGCTGTTACAACAACAAGACGTTATAGATGTAGTGAAGGAAGAACACAGCGAGAGAGCCGTTACAACAACAAGACGTTATAGATGTAGTGAAGGAAAAACACAGCGAGAGAGCTGTTACAACAACAAGACGTTATAGATGTAGTGAAGGAAGAACACAGCGAGAGAGCTGTTACAACAACAAGGAGGTTATAGATGTAGTGAAGGAGGAACACAGCGAGAGAGCTGTTACAACAACAAGACGTTATAGATGTAGTGAAGGGTGATCACAGCGAGAGAGCTGTTACAACAACAAGACGTTATAGATGTAGTAAAGGAAGATCACAGCGAGAGAGCTGTTACAACAACAAGGAGGTTATAGATGTAGTGAAGGGTGAACACAGCGAGAGAGCTGTTACAACAACAAGGAGGTTATAGATGTAGTGAAGGAAGAACACAGCGAGAGAGCTGTTACAACAACAAGACGTTATAGATGTAGTGAAGGGTGAACACAGCGAGAGAGCTGTTACAACAACAAGACGTTATAGATGTAGTGAAGGAAGAACACAGCGAGAGAGCTGTTACAACAACAAGGAGGTTATAGATGTAGTGAAGGGTGAACACAGCGACAGAGCTGTTACAACAAGACGTTATAGATGTAGTGAAGGAAGAACACAGCGAGAGAGCTGTTACAACAACAAGACGTTATAGATGTAGTGAAGGAAGAACACAGCGAGAGAGCTGTTACAACAACAAGACGTTATAGATGTAGTGAAGGAGGAACTCAGTGAGAGAGCTGTTACAACAACAAGACGTTATAGATGTAGTGAAGGAAAAACACAGCGAGAGAGCTGTTACAACAACAAGACGTTATAGATGTAGTGAAGGAAAAACACAGCGAGAGAGCTGTTACAACAACAAGACGTTTTAGATGTAGTGAAGGAAAAACACAGCGAGAGAGCTGTTACAACAACAAGACGTTATAGATGTGGTGAAGGGCAAGCAGGCGGGGTCTGAGCTGGAAAGGAATTCCATCCCCGCACGCTAGCACGTCAGTTGTGTTAATTGGGGGAGATTAGAGAGAGAGATTAGCATGAAATGAGCTTCCGTCACTGCATAAGAGTATCATCCCCGCATATGCGCACAACAGCAGTATTAATGGGAGTTTAGCACTATTAACATAACTGACGTGCGGGGATGGAATTCCTTTTCAGCTCAGACCCTGTCTGCTTGCCCTTCACCACATCTATAACATCTTGTTGTTGTAACAGCTCTCTCGCTGTGTTCTTCCTTT